ACGCAAGGACCCAAGTTCAAAACCCGGTAAAAAAAAAAAAAAAAAAAAAAAATCATGTTGCATGATGACAATCATAGTTTAAAACCTTCACTAATTAATTTATAGATGCAATGGAATCCCAACAAAAATTCCAAAAGTCTTTTAAAAAATATGTTGGAAAGCTGATGCTAATATTTTTATGGCAATGTAAAGATATAAAACAGCTAAAATAACCTTTAAAGAGAACAACAAAGTTGGGCTATGGCTCAGTGGCAGAGCACTTGCTTAGCATGTGTGAGAGCCTGGGTTCAAGCCCCAGTACTGCAAAAAGAAAATTTAAAAGAACAAAGAAGTTGAAGTAGTTATATTACCTGATTTCAAGGCTGATATAGGCTGCAGTAAGACAGTGCAATATTTGTATAAAAATGGAAAGAGGAAAAGAATAGTAGGTGTAGAGAGACTATCTACATATTGATCAGTTGAGTTTCAAAAAGAAAAAGAAAAAGAAAGAAAAACTGCCAAGGCAACTCCTGGGGGAAAAGACCACTAGCACCAAGCTATGCTGAATGACTGAGTTTGCAAGAGAAAAGAAAGCGAAGTTTGGGATCTACTACACACCAACTGTACTGCTTATATGAAGGGCACTACCACACTGAGTATAGTAGCTATGACTATCAAGCTGCTAGAAAAAAACAGAAGAGAGAGAGTATCTCTGAAAACTTAGGGCAGGAAAACTGTTTTAAGGGGAACATAAAAGCCCCTTGTATTTAAAAATGGATGTGCAGGACTTTATTATAGTTCAAAATTAAAGTATTATATCTAGAACTTATATATAACTTATACAAATCAATAATAAAGACAATTCAAGTTTTAAGAAAATGAGCAACAGACCTCTCAAAAGAAGATATGACCACAAACACAGAAAAGTGTGAGTGACACAATTATACATCAGGGAAAATAAAATTAAAATAACAATGAGATGGCTAAGTGTAACCACATGAGAATTGCTAAAAACATTTTTTAAAGCTAACCACCAATATTGGCAAATATGTGAAGCTATTAGAACTCTCTATATGTTGCCAGAGCAGGCATAAAATTACATCACTAAAAAAATCTATGGCAGTTCCTTATAAAGTTAAACTTATAGATACTCTATCACCAATCCTACTGTACAAAATGATTTGTATAAAAATGCCTGTTTTCAAAAGAGCCCCAAGTTGGAAACAACCCAATAGAATGGATAAACAAATGATGATATTTTTATACCAAGCAATAAAAATAATGAATTATTGATAAATAAAACAATGTGGATTATTCTTTAAAACATTGTGCTGGGTAAAACAAGACAGACACAAAATGGTGCATATTGGATGGTTCCATTCATAGCAAGTTCCAGAACAGATAAAACAATGGAGAAAGAAATCTGAGCAACAGTTGCTTAAAGCGGAGGGGTAGGGATGGACAAAAAGAACCTTTCTGAAGTGATTTCAATGTCTTAGATCTTAACTGGGATATTGACTGTAATTTCAAAACTCATTAGATGAACATCTTAGTGTGTTTCAATATAAATAAAATTCATCTTAAGGGGAATAAAAACCTCTTGCACATAAGCCACCAAGTGTGAGCATGCACACACACACACACACACACACACACTCACACATTAGACGGCAAAAACTGAAAATTCTAGTTGTTGGTGAGTAAAAGGGACTACTGGAGCTTGCACTTCCCTGCTCACGGGAGAATTTGACACACATCACTTCAGGAAGCAGTGTGACAACACTGAGGACAGCTGCACATGTGCACAAGGCCCAGCAGTTCCACTGTGAACTGTGTGCCCCTCAGACACGCATGGGAACAGGTATATTCAGAGCAGAAGCATCTGCACCAGCTTTAAACTAGAAACCTCCTCATGTTCACCAACAGGGCAACAGACACTTAAATTGGGCACTGGCCATACGACTGAACATCATCAAGCAGCAGAGAAAAGGAAAGAACCATCATCGATGAGGGTGAGTGAGCCTTAGAAACATAATGTAGAGCGAAAAAGATGCAGGCAAAGGCATCACAAGATATCATTTATATAAATTTGGAAAATGTAAATACTCAAACTCTATGCATTTATGCATAAAGATAGGAATAGTATGAAAGCATGAATGAATAATAAACATGAAATTCGGTATAGTAGTTACCTTTAGGGAGGTGAAGGGGGTACACAGGGCCTCCGTCTCTATTTCCAATGTGTTATTTTTAAAATCTGAAACAAATGTGGAAAATATTAAGATGTATTATGCTTGGTGGTGATTGTAGGGTATTTATTTGAGACACTATTCTACATGCACTTCTGCATGATGAAATATTTCAAGATCAACAAAGAGGAGAAGTTAATCTGACTTCCGAGGTTTAGCGGAACTGCAACAAGGAATTAGTAAATAGTTTCATTGTTTCTTGAAGAGAAGCTGCAATGTATTCCACTCCCCAAGGAAGATTTATTCTTTAGAAGTCATTCATTCTTTGGGATTTTGAATCCATTTTAGCTCGTCCCATACAGGATCTGGGATATTTTGCAACAAAAGACACATACAATGAGCCAGGAAAACATAAATATAAAGGGAAAATCCAGACCAAAGATAACAAATATCCCATCAATAAAGATTGTCCACATTGCTATGACCAAATTTCAAACTTGGCTCTGAACTTCTTGGCGACAGCAAGCATTCCATCTCCAACTGATCCGTCAAAGCAGGTCAGGAAATCTAACCTTTGCTTTTTAAGGTTTAAACTTACTATTTTAGTGGGGAGTCTCTCTATTCTAGTCTGCATTTTGCCCTAACGAGCCAAACTCCTACCTTCTCTCCTTACCTTTCTTCTTCTCTCCTTTCTTCTTTCCTTCCCTCCTTCCCCTCCCTCCTTCTTTTTCAAGAATATTTGATTACATAATCTGGGATATGGAAGAACAAAACCCAGATCTGCCAAAAGAAGACATGTTTTTGGTCTGTTAAAAAACAATTACTAATAGATAAGCATGGAATTAATGCTATGGGAAGATAATAAGTATAATTATAATGAAAGAAATAATAAAGAAAACAATGAGATTTGACTACATAAGAAATCTTAGAAATTCCTCATAAGGAATGTAAAACTATGTACTATAAACATGAACTATATAAAGAGAAACCTTAGATAAATCAAAATTTAAAACATGATTATCTTTAAACAGTGACAGGCTTATTCTCTTAAAGATAATACAACAAAGCTGGGCATGGTGGCCCATGCCTGTAATCCCAGCACTTGGGAGGCTGAGGCAGGAGAGTCTGAGACCAGGCTGTGAGTCTGAGACCAGCCTGGGCTACATAGTGAGTTCCAGGTCAGTCTCAATTACATAGTGAGACCCTGTCTCAGAAAAACAAAACAAACAAAAAAAGATAATACAACAAGTACTTCTATGTCCTGAGGACTCCAAATTTTATATTCTAGCTCAACCCACACTTCTTAACTCTCAACTCTTATATCCACACCTACTTACTCATTGCATTTGGAGATTTAACAAGGGTCTCAAGCTCAATACATACAAAATGGAATCCCTGTTCTTTCTTCCAAAAGAAGCTCCATTCATAGCCCATTCCCATCTCAGTTGATGGCAACTGCATCTTTGCAGTTGTCTAAGCCACTGGCACCTGGCTTTCATAGTCCACAGTCAACCTATCAATCAATTTTTTTTTGTACCTAGGATCGAACTGGGGACCTTGTGCTTGTGAGGCAGGTGGCAGCACCACTGAGCTAAATCCCCAGCTCTCTATCAGTCAATTTTGTTGGCTCTCCCTCTAGAATACACCCAAGATCCAACCACTTCCTGATAGCTCTGCTGTTCTCCTTTCATCTGAGTCACCCTTATATCTTGCCTAGATCAGTATGCAATAATACTCTCCCAATTGGTCTCCCTAATTTGATTCTTGCTCTTTTTACCCTTCTGAAGTCGGTTCCATACATATTACTGATATGAATCCAGCCAATATTTTTATACTTTTCATTTATATGTAGCCAATATATTGTTCTGTTCATATATTCATATACATCCCATGTTAGTGTACCATACTTAATATTTTTCAGTGTGTACATATAGGTATATTTGAGAAATTCTTATCATTCATTTGTAATTCCTCAGCATAACAGCAAAACAAGAAAGTAGACTGGGAGAGACCATGGACCTTGGACAATGCCAAATGACAGATCTTTAAGGATAACAGTGAATGCAGCTCCTGTCCACTACTGATTGGCTGAAATATCCATGGATAAGTCATTGAACCTCTCTATGGCTCAGTTTAAGTGAGATGATGCATTAAAAAGAACACAGCAGTAAAAGAGCTTATGATCCGTATCATTCAGTGAGGAGAACAGTAATCACAGGAATGGATCAGGAGCATGCTGGGGCTGCACTGGCTCACATGCTGAGCCTCCAGTGGAGAAAAGCTCAGGAGAGTGGGAGCTAGTTCCATCCAGACCATCCTGGGACACAGTAGCACACTCAGGTAGCTGTAGATTCAACAGCAAGCCACTCATAGATCTAGCAGCACACTTGACCATGTAGCTCCTGGACCAGAAAATGGATGCAGCATCTACCTAACTGGGGGATACTGGATGTTTCTGCATTTGAGGTGATCACATTTTTCTGTTTCTACCTGAGATCCTCTTTGGAAAGAAAGCAATCCATCCACACACATTAGCTTGCAATGTGGTGTGCACCTTTTCCTTCCCTGAAAACTCTGGAAAGTCCAAGTGGAAAGGGAACTCTGTTCCCAGATCACCTCATTTGTGACACAGGACCGTCCTTCCCTTGATTACAGAGCCAGTAGACTCAGGTCCCCCAGTCCTCACATAGGAACTCCAGAAAGCAAATGGGTTTGGAGGAGAGATCAGATGGGCAAACGTAGCCACTGGGAGTTTGGGATCAGACAAAATAAGGATTCAAGAAGTAGTAATGAATGTGGCATAATGGAGGCGGACAAGGAGGTAGAGACCGAAGCAGGGAGGAATAGGGAGGCCTGGTTTCAGGAACAAGACAGAACTATTTGTAGGCCTGAAGCAGAAGGCCTGGATGGAGCCAGAAGTGCAGGGCAGGTTTGCTGCCAGTTCGCTGAATGCCATGACCTTGGTTTCCTCGAGTTCCTAGAATTCAAGTTCCTAGAACTGGGGAGGGCTGAGAATGCATGTGACGGTCAATCATTTGTGGCAGGAATGGGTTAGGTGAGGAGAAGGAGGAAATTGGACAGATTATTAATTAAACAGCCATGCCATTCATTTGCAAAGCCCAGAGTGAGCAGCAATTCCTAGACTCCCGACACAGCACAAGTTCTTACTTCTTTCCTACTGCTAGAACCCCACGAACAAGATATTCTTGGGTGACTTCTCAATACTCCCCTCTAGCTGGGATCTCATTTCTATACCAAACAAGAAGAGGAGAGATCTCCACTCACCAGCCAGATGAGAAAAGGGTCCATGTTTCAATTTGGAGAGCTGAAGGGTCATTAAACAAGGCTCCTACTTCTTCCTGTCCTGGGGGACCAACCTTAAAGTTGAACCCGAAACCTACAGAATAACAGACCCATTTATTGGGTTCTCGTTGTGTGCCAGGCATTAGGAGAAAGGCTTTGTATGCACTATCATATTTGATTGTCATCACAATTTAAGGATGAAGGTGCCATTATGAGGAAACAGGATGAGAATGGGTCATCAGTTAAGTGGTAGCTTAAGTGGTAAAATGCTGAGAACAGAGTGATTTAAATGCCTATGTTCAGAAAGATTATGTTCACCCACTAACCTTGAACGCTGCTTCCAAGGGAGGATGACAGAGATCTCAAGGATGAGGGTCTTTCTGAAGTCTGCAGAAGTGGAATATTCATCTTCCTTTCAAGTATCTCCAGCTTTGCTGTGTTGTATTTTCTCTCGTTTTCACATAAACTGGGGTTCTACCGACAAAAATCGGAGCAAATTGAAGAATTCCTCTGATTGACCTGTAAGACTGTTTTACTAAAGTTGTGTCATTTCTAGCTTCATTAATAGGCTGCACTCACTCTCCTTGCCAGCATAAACTAGGCCAAACCTCTGCTAGTGGCTTCTTTACCTGTTTGATCCTCAAGTGGAATTTTTAAAATTAGGGCCTTTCGCCCATGTATCTTTAAGACTTCTGAGGAGCAGGCTCACATGCACACCTAAAAAAAAAAAAGCCACACAAACAGTCAACAAGAGAAGGGAACACCTTTCAGAGAAGCAGACTTACTGGTTTGGGCTGCATCTGTATTCACCCAGGACACCCTTAAGAGCAAGCTTTTTCTTCCTCTCCCAGGATTTGCTCATTCCCATTTTCTCCACCCTCCTGTTGGGACAAGCAAGCACCCCTAGAACAAAGAGGTCTTCCTCCCAAGTAGGTGATCAACAACCAAACAATAAACAACAATGTGACAATGCCGACTGCATAAAGGAAGCAAACACACTTTTTAAACTAATGTATTCAGTTTATTCTTTACTCATAAAAAAAGAGCCTATTTTTGGCTTTGAAATCATGACATAAATAAAAAAGCATATGTGAAAATTATCAGCTGAAGTAGGTAGAAGCAACTCATGCTAAACCATCAGCAAACAGTATGTGCTTTGGGCTCCAGCAGCGACACCAGCCAGCAAGAACCAGATGCATGGCCAACCTAACTCCCAAGCCTCCTAAATTCCCAGAGGCTGCTCGGCCAATGTACACTGGAAATGAATCCTCCTTTTCTCCTGCTTTCCTTTTTAAATTCTAATTTTGGAACAGTAGGCAATAATGCTTCGATGCTTCTCTTTCTGGTTTGTAGGGTGGTGTTGTCATTTTAACACATTTAACCTGTGTATTTTCAACCTTGAAAAAAATAAAACTGCCCAAATCGACTCTAACAAAGCCATTTCTAGTTTTGGTCAGTTAGCTGCTGCAGGCAGAGCTTCATGTAGGAGTTCTTATTGCGGATTTCTATGACTGCGTCCCTCACAAGCTCAATGAACATCTGTGGCCAAAGTTTCTGCAGAGCTTCATTCTTCATATTGATTTCTGTGGCTTCCTTCACAAGGTCCTCTATGTACATCTTGCAGAATTTCTTTTTTTCTTTTATATCCTGTTTTTAAAAAGAAAACCTCATGTCACTTTATGACTAATCCAAAGGCCAAAACAATCATTAGATGAACCAGAAACTAGAAATAATCTCTTCTCCCTCTCCCACCCACCCTTCAGACAGGAATTCTTTTGTAGCCACTCACAACAGAGCACTCTGCTTGAGTCCAGCCACAGGGAGCTTAAAGCTTTCAGTCTACTTCTGCCTCTGTTGGACAGCTCTGTTGGAAAATGTGATTACTATTTCTCCTATCTGAGTTCAGGTGATTTAGCTCACACTGTCGGCTGAAAGCAGTCTCATGGCTATGTGGTTAAAGTATTAGGTTATGGACATTGATAATTAAAATTGGTAGAATACTTGAGATACTAACACTCTGAATTTACTTTGTTGTATAGGAAAGTGTATAATAGAACATTTGGACAAAGTTGGAGAAAGTATACAAGGAGGAAGAGAAAGTATACCCAAGTGTGGGACCCAGAACTCTTCCTAAGAAACAGTGCTCCCACTCAACTTCGAGGCCCGGCAATCTGCAAATGAAAAACCTGGTTCTAAACACAAGGGAAGTCTTGGGCCAGAGGATATGTGGGCATTAGGCCCTAACTTTCCACAGACACTAGAACAAAGCCATTTTGTGGGGACTAGAAGTATAGCCCAGTGGTACTGTGTTTGACTAGCATGGGTGAGGCCTAGATTCAATCCGCCAACACTGACCGCATCCCCAAAAAACCCATATTATTTAATGCAAGAGTTTTTGCTTTGGATGCTGGTACTTCTGTAGAGTGTTAAGTCATGATCATGACATGATCAAGTCACATCATAGTATACAGGAAAAATGCAACACCACACATCCGATCATTAGAACTGTAAGGAAGTAATTCATGTCAGTGGAGGAGAAAAGAAATAAAAAATGATAGCAAGACAATAGATTTAGGAAAAGGAGCCACTTAAATTTCCAGCTAAAATCCAAATACCAAAATAATTTCAATTAGAGTTAAATTAAAAATATTACAACTATTGTCATCAAAATTATACTTAAGATTTGTAATAAGAAAAACACTTATAATATGTTTAAGTGAAAAAGAAAACTAATAACATTTTGATAGGTTTGAGTTATATATGTACAAGTTTTTCAGTGTTCAGCCATGGCAGTCTAAGGTTTACACATCAGTATATAAATTTTACCTCCAATGAAGAAACTGTACCAAATATGGAACCCAACTAATCACATGGATACTGAACTATTTAGGGAGAGGGAAACTAATCATTTTTAAAATGTGGACACGTGGGTGGAGAGAGGGATGGGTAGATGCAAGGTATGTGGTGAAGCAAGTATGGTGCTGAGTACAATGTTAACAGTGCAGTGTAGGTTTTGAATGTTTACGGTAAAATCCCTTTAACTTAGCTATATGCTTGAAATTTGTATTAAAAAGTTAGAAAAGAATGGATAGAAAACTGCTTAAGAAAATATTCTTAAGTATAAGGTTGGGTTGTGAAACTGTTTTTTCCTTTTTTTAAAAAAGTTTTTCACCTTTTTCCAAATGTTCACCATTTTTAAGCCAAAAAAATTTTAAATTCCTCATTGATTAATGTGAAGTACTAAGTCTACTGCCCTGTTTCCCTAGCAGAGGCATATTTTGGAAATTTTCTTCTGACATCTAAGACATGTCAAAATAATCAGTCAACATGCAGGGGTCAACATGTTGATTTAATATAGTTTATGCGCCAAAGCAACAGGTCATTGGGTTGACCTATCCATAAAAATATGAACCAGATTTTGATGGTGATAAACAATAAATGGTTCCAGCTGGCTGCTTTTCTGATGAATCTACTTCTCTGACTCTAAAACACAGCCTTGGATTCAGTCACTTGGGCTCAGATGGCTGATGAGAGCAGTATCAGCTACTCCCTTCTCATAGTCAGTCTGGGCTGCACCCAGACAGCTAGCAGGATGATAAGTGGGAGTCACAGGCAATCAGTAACTAAAAGGAGTGACATTTTACAACAAGCACAGCCACTATGCATATTTAGTGAAAAAATAAAAAGAGTCCCATTAACAGGTGAATTTTTATAATAATGTAGGGATAGCAAATGTTAAACTTTTAAATGATGCATTCTGTTAAATCATTTATAATGCAAGTTAAAATGAACATTTTGTAATTGATGTAGTATAATTCTGTGAGTTTAAAAATTTCCTGGTATAGTTTCTTCCATTGTTTCTCTACGAACATGTCGATGCAGAATTGCATCTGTTATAATAACCCTTAATTTAGTAATTGTGTTTGAAAGCATTTTTACTTCATTTCTCCTCTCTTCTAAGCTAATTACTGTACCTTTCTGCAGAATGTACCCTGTAACTCATCAGCATCTGCCAGTACAACTCACCCTTCCTGTCCAGAATGATCCTGTCAAAACCACACAAAGATACACTCGTGCTGTGACCTGCTAAGGGATTGTTGCTCTTTGAATAAGGCTTTTTCCATTCCCAAGTGCTTTCACATTCCTATTTCCTTTTAGCCCACAATATGGCCACAGGGTTGGTTCATTAAGCAAGTACTTTACAAGTTCAATACTGATGAGAAACAATATTGTTTATATTATTTCTTTGAACTAGAAGTTTGTTATAAAGATGGTTTGGAAAAAAACATGGGTCAGCGGTGGGATTTTGTTATAGAAGCAATTTTAACTACAATGGCACTTGTTTAGGATTTAACCCATATCCTCATTTTAGAAATGGGAAACTTGGTTGAGAGACTCGGTCAGGATTAGACGTCATCTATTAAAAGTTGCTTAAAAATAATTCTTACCTCATTCTTGAAGAATTGGCAGGCTAGTTGGAAGATGGACTACACACATAGAAAGCTAACAACACAACAAAACCTACTCGTGTGTTGAATGAAATGATCAGCCCGTAAATTCATCAGCATCAGAATGCTCTTCACATTAGGATCACCAAGAAGTCCTCAGAAGGTACTGCAGTGTACACTGTGTCCAAGACCAGGAACAGGAACGCCTTGCTACTCAGCACGCACTCAATAATCCACTACATGCCTCTGAGTCGTTCACCCTAGTTTGCACTTTTCCCCATCTGTCTATGAGCAGAATTGGATTCTGTAAAGAATCCTTTATACCTTACAGCTTTTCTCTGATGAGTCAGGAGAATGCAGGGGGTACTCAGAAGCAACAGACCTTTAACACACATAACCAAAGTCTGCTTAACCTGACCTGTGAGGAACACACCTCAGTTAACTTTCCCAACAACTCAGAATGTACAGGAGAGAGTACTTTGCATTGTACTTGGCACTGCAGCGATTTAAGTAGTTTTCAAGATTTGGAGCATGGTGTAAGTGAAGGGTGGTTAAGGGGCCTAGGCATGGTCTCTGGTAATGAGCGGGAATCGGGCTCAGATCCAAGACTCCAATGGTTAGCCTACTGTTCTTTCCAAAATATTAGGTGGCTCAATCCTTCCTTTTTCCTCTGCATTTTTTCAAGACAAGAGTCAACACTGCCTGTCTTTACTTGTGCATTGCTTATTAATCTATCAAACCACTTTAATCAAGACTTTGCTCATAGAACTCCATTGAGGCATTTTCCATTAAAAAAAAAAACATGACCTTGATTGTCACATGAATTAAATGTTCTTCCTTTATAGTTTGTGCACTTGGAGTATTAAAAAATCATGTTCTACCTAACCAAGGTCATAAGATTTTCTCTGATTTTAAACATAAGAACTTTGAAGTTTTAGGTTTCAAACTTGGGTTTTCATTGGACCCGAAGTTAATTTTTTTGTTGCACAGTGTGAATGGGTTCAGTGTGTTTTTCTGACTGGATAACCCATTTCCTCACCATCACTTATTAAACAGACTGTCCCACTAGTTTGTAATGCCTCCTACTTGATGTGTAAATTTCCCCATGTGCACAGCGCCGTTCTGCCTCTCTATGCTGTCCACAAGTCTTTGTGTCTGTCCCCACACTGCTTAATTACAACAGATTTATAATCATAACTTGATAAGCGATAAGGCAAGTTCTCCTTGCCTCTACTCTGGTCTATTTCAGGCCTTTTGCTCTAT